CACATATAAAATGGTATTCATCTTCTATGTCAAATGTATTACAACATAAACAATATCGTTGATCACGAGGTGTATTATTCCTATTGTATCTCCCAGTCTGTATTCTTAAAGGATGTACAGATAATCTTAATCTACAAAAATAATATCTATATTTACGAGGCAGAATATCAAGATAACTTTCATAACCAAAATTAAGCTGAAAATTCTTGTAATTAAACAAAACTGGGCTACATTCTAACGTAGCTGTCCATTCTTGAATAAAAGTGTCTATAACTCTGCGTTTAAAAATAATAGGGAACACTTTTGCATCAACGCAATTTTCATTAAAAATTTCAGCAAAACCATAATTACAGGGTAGTTTTTTAACATTTGAAACCAAATTGCGGTGTCCTTTATTACAATCCAATAAACCATCTTCATACATAGTTTTTAAAACAATATTATCAGTGTTTTTCAACTTACACCAAAACTTGACAATTCTAACGTAACGAGTCACATACAGCGGATAACGCCCCAACTCACCATAAACTGCAGCAGAACAAGTATTCGCTCTAACATTAAGCAAACGTTTACAAAATTTTAAGTGGATTCTTTCCAATTCTTTAGATTTCGTGTATCCCCAAATTTCAGACCCGTATCCTAAAATAGACCCAATGAAAGCATCAAATAATTGACATAATATTTTAGGTTTGAGATCAAACTTTTTACAATTGTAAAACAAAACATTAAGAGCTTTTAAAGCTTTTCCTACCAAGTGTTCTTGGTTAAGCGAAAAATTACCTGTATAATTAAAAACAGTACCTAAATAATTAAAATCATTCACAACTTCTAAAATTTGGCCATCATAGGTCCAGTTCTCATTTTGTAATAACCCCCTCGTTTTCGAAAAAACATTACTTTTGTTTTGCTTGTATTTACTTTTAATCCCCATGTAGAGCAATATGAATGTAAAAGATCCAAATGGTTTTGCAGTTCCAATGGTGACTTGCCTAAGATGGCCATATCGTCAGCAAATAACAATAAAATCAAAATAACATCATCAAATGACAGTCCTGACTCTTGACCAGTTTGCAAATATAGCTCTAAATCCTCTACAAAGAGAGAGAATAAAATTGGTGAAATTACCTCCCCTTGACGTAATCAAATAGCATAATAGAAATAATCAGAATAATTCGAACAAGATTTGACACAGGATTTAACTTTTTGATACATGTCTCTTATAATACGCAGCAATTTACCTTTTATTCCTAATTTATACATTTTCAGCCATAATGCATTTCTATATATACTGTCAAAACATTTCATCATATCGACAAAAACAACATATAAACGTTTATTTTCATTAACAAATTTTTGAATTAATGACATAAGAACAAAAATTGCATCGGTAGTAGAACGCCCTTTACGGAAACCAAATTGTGCATCTGATATGATATTGTTACTTTCACAAAAGGATTCTATTCTAACATTAAGTACAGTGGTAAATAATTTTGACAAACAACTAACTAATGTTATGCCTCTATAGTTATTGACGTCATCAGTACGCCCCTTCTTATGAAGAGGGATAATAATTCCCTCTGTCCATTGTTCTGGATAAAAACCAGAGTTTAACACAACATTAAATATATCACATATATGGGCACCTAAAATATCGATGCTTTCTATGAAGTATTCATTCATTAAACAATCGCTACCTAATGACTTTCCACGTTTTAACATTTTTACGGCATTTTGAACTTCATTTAAAGTAATTGGTTTATCTAACTCATCATACTCAGTATTTATCTCATTAAAAGAATAATCTTCACAAAAATTTTCAGCCTCAATATTGTTACAATTTGATATATCATTACTTAACTTAGCAAAATATTCTTTAAATACATCTATTGGAATATTGCTATTGTCTGCAGACGACTTATTTTTAAAATATTTCCAAAACTGCTTCGGTTTACTTTTTTTTAAATTTTCTATATCGGACATCTTTTTACAATAATATATTCTTTTCTTTTTACGAATAATACTTTTATATTCCGTTTTATATTTACACAGATTTATTCTATTGATATCATTATTATTTCTATTAAAAACCCTTAAAGCATCTAAATACAAAGTTCTAGCATTGATACATTCTCTATCAAACCAGTCAGAGTTATCTATACACGAGCTATCACTAAAATAGACGTCATTGTTAAAAGTACGACATTTACCAAATAATGGATCTGCTACATTGCGTAACACAGATGTAAAACTATTTAAAACACTATTTACACAGTCACGGTTGGACAAATCAATATTATCAATAATTCTGTTAAACTCAGGCAATTTTGCAATAAGACCACTGCGAAATTCATTTCTACGGTCACTATTCCATTTAAACATAATTTCTTGACTTTTTTCGCACTTTTTTGAATACTTTTTACAAGATATTGAAAAACATAAAGGTGTATGGTCACTCCATTCATTTGTAGACTGAATGGTAAAATTTTGTATGGATGAAAAGTTACGCTCACTGGTTAATAAATAATCAATCACCGATGCGCCTCTGGGTGAGACGTACGTATATTTACATGTCTCGCCAATTCTACCGTTAACTATTCGTAGACATGAAGATTTGCATAGATCAAGGAGTTTCATACCTTGACTGTTACTAATTTTGTCTACAGAGGCCCGGAAAAGGTGTTCATCAGGAATATAGTCATAATCGTCTGTATATGAATTTAAACAATCGTGTGTAATAAAATCATGCTTATTACCAACTCTGCTATTATAATCGCCCACAATATATATCGAACCTTACTGACTGAAGACGGAAATATCATTTTCTAAAAGTTCAAATAAATCAGTATTAAAAACATTATATGCAGGTGAATCCTCACACCATATATATACATCGCAAATATATATATCATTTTCAATGTGGAAAAAATTATGATCTAGCACGTAAGATTAGTACGTAAGAGAAAAACTAATTTCCTTCAGGGATATTTTTGTGTTATTTTGGTAATTTCCCTTTCATTTGCAATTTAAGAAACTTCCTCATTTGATTTTACTGAGCAAGAATTGTGTATTATGAGGCGATTCAGATGTAACATAATTAAGCTAGTGGTTAAATGATTGAAATAAAAAATAATTTTATCTTACAAGATTTACAGTTATAGCTTTATGTATTCTTATTTGTCGCATTCAACGTCAATCCTTCGTCTACGAAAACATGTATCTGAAACTCTTTATGGAAACGTTCTCACAAATGACTCTTACTAAATGACTTTATACTCTATTATACTTTATACTAATTTTCCTGAGGTGTAAAACATAGCAGTTTGATTTATACTTTCAGTCATATTGTTTTTTATGTTCAATTGCTTATTCATTGAGTACACCAACAAACAGATGTTTATAAGCATAAAAAATACCAAAATGATTTTCGTTTTTACTTCATCTTGAAATAAAAATATTACTTGCAAACATACTCTTGTTTTTTATCACATATATAAGTATTTTTTGAAAGCCAGGGCATTCTCTAAATGGTAATTTATAGTTTTTAATAATGAAATCAAGCAATATGTGACAGTCTTTTGAAATATGGCAAATATACAAATTTAGGAGATTAAGAGTTTAGATGATTGTTATTGTCTATAGAAACGTATTTTATAAACTAAAATTTCGTAACGAACATAAAAAGTCTGAATTTTAAGTTAAATTTTAAGGCTATTTTTAAGATATTAAAACACTTAGAATATTCTAGAAAACGTCAACAATAATTAATTTTTGCATTGTTGCATTGATTCAACAGCGTTTAATGTTATCATGATATAACATCTTCTGTAAATATGGTATTTAAAAGAACATCACAAATCAACAATGAATGAAAGCAAACAAGAGGACCATTTAATAAGTAGGCCTTACACATATTGTAAGATCAATATTGAAACAAATGCATAGCTGATAAAAATCAATTCATACATCAATATTACAACGTCCTATTGGAGCGAATTGTCTCTCATAGATAACAGAGATTGGCAACTTCCTAGCCAGTTAAAATATTACGCGTGCCTGCTTAACTTAAAACTTGTAGCAAGTAACAACTTATTTACCAGATATCAAAATCAGTAAAATAATACATTTTCTGAAAGCTTATGCATTTGTATATGGCTGCAGGTGAAAATATGTACAGTTCCCATATAAGTAAATGATACATCAATTTTTTTTAAAGAGAACTACTTAATAATTTTTGTTACAATACTTCATATGACAAAAAGCAGGCTCAGTGGGTATGTTCTGCTATGTTTTTCTAAGTGAAAGGTTTGGAAAGTTACCAATATAAAAATAAAAGATTTACCTTTCAAATGGTATATAATATTAAAGGATCAAATGTACATTCAATAAGTTTTATTTGCTCCAAAATGCCTAATTTTTCACTTTTTGATAGGCATATTTCAATGGAGTATATATATAGGAGCTGCTTATCTCTGTTATCTATGTCTTTGTCATGATCAAGTGGAGTGTTCAGCGTTCTAATATTTACGAATTTTCTCGAATCCTTTTGAAGACAAATATCTATTAATGTTCTCTTAACTTATCAATTTTCTTTTAGATAATTGCAGCATTAAATGAGTGGCCATATCAATGGTTTAATACTTTTTTTTTAACAAATCTAAATATATTTTGTTATATGTTCTTTTCATGTCACGTTCTATTTCGGAGTCACGTATTAAGTTAATCTTTCATATTAATGTTCAACTTGATAAAATTTTGAAATATGTGAATTGCATAGAACGGTTTTCTTAGTTATTAATTTCAGTTAAATGGAATAAGATAAAATTTCAATAAAAATATCTATGGTCAGAAATATATTCGAATTCAAATTCAGAGTCCAAATTGTCGACCGATAAATCTGAGGAGCACAAACTGGTCGTTGTCAGGTGTTTATTTGTGTTTAACATGTTTGAGTGAAAAAGTCATTTACAGTTTTATCAATTTTCATCTATTATCATCATATTTTATAAACACTCTCTGTCATAGAAATCAACTTTTTCATTGTCATATAAAATGAAATCAGGCAAAGCATCTTGCACCATTTGTTTTGAAAGAGAACTTCTCCTACATCTGCCTGATTCCGTATTATATTCAAACGACACACAGTCTGTATCATCTATACATAGTGTTTGGCAATCAGTGAAAGTTTGTGGTGAAAACCCGCGGTCATTAAAGCCTGCCACACGCATTCCCTTGGTGAACGAAAAAGAGTTGGTCAATACTGTACAAACTGCAGATAGAATAAACATGATATTGTGTAATGATATTGTAATTGTAATTACTGTTGTAAATGTATCATTTACAAAAATAAACTAGTTTCTTCTTCGTATTCATTTCTGAAATGTGCGCATACAATAAAATACTTTAATAGAAACTATCTTGTTTTGAGTATCATAGAACTATTGATATCTAAGCAGTTTAGGAAACAATAATATTTTGTTTATTTATCATTGACAATACTTTCAAATGTCAATCGCATAGTAAGAACTTTAAGAAAATGATATCCAAAATCTGTCTAGGTGACTTAAAAGGCAAGATCTATACATTTCTCATAGGGTGATTACATTTTTTAAAAGAAAAAGGAGTTAAATACCTTTCATACATTCTTTGGAATCAGGGTCATATCGGTAGAATCGGTTACAAAAACAGTAACCTTGGTTACATATTGCCTCGGACTCATTACAGTCAGAGTTACTTGTACACGCTGTTCCAATTGTTGTCGCTACAATTTATATATTGAACATGTTCACGAAATATCATTGTATGTGTCAATATGTGTCAAAAATAACAAAATTCTTTCTAGCATTTGATAAGAGACATTTTTGTTACAACAAACGCAAGTATACGATGTTTTTGTCGGTTGACAGGTTGGCATTTAAAAAAATCATATCAAGGTGCCATAATATTTCTTTATTATTTATCGGACAGATAAGAACTATAACATTGCAATATTTTTACTTCGTCAATTTGTTGCATTATCATCAACATGTAAGATTTTACATAAGGAATAAACCGTTTACCAAATACGGTATAGTATTGAATGCTATCCTTGAAATATCTCTGATAATAAACGTTAAAGATATTCTTTGCTCATCCTTAAGTAAAATGTTTTGCTGAAACCTATGAAATTCTTAGTGGATATGTCTAATTTGAATAAAAGAATGAGTTAACTATGTATGGGAAACTGCTGTCTTATTATAAGCTAAGTAAATTTGGTATTTTCTTAAAAATACTGCCAGTTTTAAATGACACTATATATTCATATTGTAACCACCTTAAGTGTGTAGAGTATTAAACATAACATATCTGCTTTGTGTGAAGTCAAAACATGTTTATTTTATATTTACTAAACGACTGTGAATTTCTAACATCAATTTTGTGCATAGAATATCTTTAAAATAGAATTGAGCATTGCAATGACTTTGATGAGAAAACGAAGAACTTTGAATATTTAATGTAAATGAGTTTATATCGAATAAGTAAGATTGGTGTTCGCTTATTGTCTGCTGTATGTATATTGTAAACAAACCCATGCAAGTAGCTTCTGGTACCGACCACTCCCCATTTAGGAGACACGTTATGCTCGTGTCACCACTGAGGAACATGTTATCTGGGCACGTTAACACGTATGAACTGTTAGTCCCAGCAATGCTCGTGCCAGATTGATCATCTCCGTTAACATGTCGTGTGTGATCGCATGCTGAAGAAAGAACAAAACAAATTAAATTTGTATATGTTTCAATGTGTCATCATGAAACTTGGACAAATGCAATATGTATAGCAACAATTTTTTTTATAATAAATACAACGTCTTTACAAAATAATCAATACGAAGCAAGTTAATGATAACAATAAGTGTATAACACCCTCTAACCAAAAATATTTTAATCAAATGAAGTTTACCGAGGTAAAATTGACGTCATAAATTGACGTTATTACTGTCTTAAATACCGATATATTGGAAGACAAAATAATACAAAACTCAGGACAGTGATATATGTTTCGAAATGGTTCGTGTATGAATACCATGCACAACGGTACATGTAATCCACAGTAACTGATCCGAAATAAGAATACGTTGAGAAATGAATTTATAAATAAAAATAAAATATGGAGCATTCAAACAATTTTATCATGTGAGGTACATGTATTACTGAAAACATGTATTTATAAAATGTAATAAGTCTTTTTATTGATCCAGTACTTCAAAACAACTTGTGTATAAACATATAATTAGATTCCGTTATAAAAATATCAATATTGTATGAGTAATTATAAACGATTATGTGTGGGATTCGTTACATTTAATTTTTAAACGTTATAGTTAACCTAATTAAGTTTGCTTGTATTGACAAATAACTTACTGATATTGACGGCATTTAAGGGCCCCCCTTTACCTAAAAGGTTTTTTTTTTTCCCCCTTTGGGGGTTTTTTCCCCCCCCCCCAAAAAAAAAAAAAAAAAAAAAAATTTTTTAAATTTAAAAAAATTTTTTAAAAAAAATTTTTTTTCTTGGTTAAAAAAAAAAAAAAGGGAAAAAAGACCAAAAAAAAACTTTTGGGGGAAAAAAATTTTTTAAAAAAAAAAGGGGAAAAAATTATTTTTTTCCCCTTTTTGGGGGGAAAATTTCCCTTTTTTCCTTTTTTTGGGGGCTTTTTTTTCTTTTTTTTTAAGGAAATTTTTTTTCTTTTTTTTGGGGGTTTCCCCGGGGGTTTTTTTTTTTTAAAACCAAAAATTTTTTTTTTTTTGGGGGGGGGTTTTTTTTTTTTTTTTTTTTGTTTTTTTTTTTTTTTTCCCCTTTTTTTTTTTTTTTTGGGGGGGGGGTTTTTTTTTTTTGTTTTTTTTTTTTCCTTTTTTTGGGGGGGGAAATTTTTTTTTGGGGGGGGGGGGGGTTTTTTTTTTTTTTTTTTTGGGGTTTTTTTTTTTTGGGGTTTTTTTTTTTTTTGGGGGGTTTTTTTGGGGGGGGGTTTTTTTTTTTTTTTTTTTTTTTTTTTTTTTTTTAAAAAATTTTTTTTTTTTTTTTTTTTTTGGGCCCGGGGTTTTTAAAAAAAATTTAAAAACAAAACCCAAAAATTTTTTGGGGGGAAAAAAAAAAAAAAGGGGGGGGAAAAATTAAAAAAAAAGGAAAAACTAAAAAAAAAATTTTTCCCCCAAAAAAATTTGGGTTTTTTTTTTTTTTAAAAAAATTTTTTTTTTTCCAAAAAAATTTTTTTTTTTTTTTTTTGGGGGAAAAAAAGGTTTAAAAAATTTTTTAAAAAAACCCCTTTTTTAAAAAAAATTTTTAAAAAAAAGTTTTTTTTAAAAAAAAAAATTTAAAATTTTTTGGGGGTTTTTTTTTTTTTTTAAAAATTTTTTAAAAATTTTTTAAAAAAAAATTTTTAAGGGGGTTGGGTAAAAAAAAATTTTTTTTCTTTTAAAAAAAATTTTTTAAAGGGAAATTTTTTTAAATTTTTTTAAAAAATTTTTTTAAAAACACCCAATTAAAAACCCCCCATTTTTTTTAAAAGGAATTCTTTATTGTTAATTTTGTTACACAGAGAATTACAAAGTAAAAAGTATAATAAATTACTCACGAAACTTATTTTAATAATGTTAAACACTTTGTGTCAAATTCATATCACTGTATACCGTAATTATAGTAGAAAACGATGCTATGAGAAAGGTTTGTTGCAACATTATCAGGTTTTAAAACGCAGTGGTGCTATATTTTAAACAGTTAGAAAAGGAATTACCTGAGGCCATTCGGATATATCAGAGAAAATTGTTCCTTTTACTTCGTAGAAATCTGATGGACTAACTGTTCCACTTCCAGCTGAGTTTATTTCACAAGTTTTGGTACTTATATCAAAATTAATAGACACACAAGCTCCTATAAACATGCATTCTTTGGCACATTCGTGATGTGACAACACTTTTATGTCAAACAACTTATAACCAAGCAGTTGCTTGTTCATGTTTGCAGCCTTTATCTGAAAAGGCTGGCATGATTGTAAACAAGTTACCTCCGTGAATAAAAGAACGACACTCCATAAAAAGAGCGGTATAATCAGCGCCATATTTGTAACTATGTCATTTCTCTTTGAGCAGTCTAAAATAAAGATCGGATGACGACATAAACCGTCAAAGTATACACAGGTCGGTTAAACTAGGGTTTGAACATAGGTCTTTGTTGGTAGATTGTCGTCTCTCTAAACCGATGACGCTTCATTCGACTGGAAAATAAAGTTTTTTATATTAAAATGTTTAGGAAATAAATAGTGTTTTTGTATTTTCTGATTTCTTTTCAACAATTTAGCATAAATACACAATTTTTACATTAGAGTATTTGCAAGAGAAAAGCTGTGTATCAAAAAAAAAATGTTTATCGTGCCTTCATATACCAATGCTAAAATGTTGAATGAAAATATATGATTGGTAAATGGTTCTTTTATTTATATTTAGACAAAATCTAATAAGTCATTTTAAACTTAAAGAACACCCACTAGGTCAAAAAGGCTTAAACATTTAATTTGAAATTCTTACGCAAATCAAGTGAATCACTTAAAAAATAAATAAATTTTGCCATCCTTTAGTAAAGGCAAACATGAGTTTTTTAACATTAAAATAAAAGTTTTAAAACATTTTAGATGTATATTTTCTGCAGAATGTGGCACTGGATGTGAAATTATCGGTTATAAAAGTAGCAAAATGTAAACAAAGAAGTATTTTGACTTCCATGTTTTGCCATAATGCAGCAGATGCGAAAAATGGTCAATATGTTTGGCAAATGAGCAACGTTTTGGAATAATATAACAGGACACAAAATAAAGCTTTTGATAAATGAAAATTACAGCATTTCAGGTGCATATTTGGCCTTTAAAATATAAAATCTGCAAATGATATAAGTAATTTACTCATGATAAAAGTGATTTTTGTATCGATTTTTTTGGATGATTCTTAGCAGCAGTAACAACAACAACAACAAAGCCATTTTATTAAGTCAATGGTCACAATTACACGACAACAGACAATGCAAAGGAATTAAATTTTAAAACAGGCGGGTTAAACTAAAATAAATTCTACAACTGTTTTTTCAGTGTAAGAAATATTTTTTAAAATGAACTTACCGAAAGACAAGTCCAGCTCAACTTTAACTTGCCCGTCTAGTTATATAGTTTCACGCGTGTTAACCCACGTATTCTAATTTACTTTTCATACTGGAACATTCTTTATTCTTTTTTTCGTATTATCAATTTCAGAATAACAATTTGGCTACTAATCTTTTCGCGATAACAAAACTTGTTTGCCTGAACTTGACTCGCCCAGCTAATTTTCAACTTTCCCGGTCTAGTGGGCAATTGCATATTGTAAAGTACAATCATCTACGTATTTATTTGTAAAGTGTATTGGCGTACTGTATGAGGTAAGCAAGTACAGTTTTCTTTTAAGAAAGTTTTTTGGTGGGAAAATCCAATAAAGGAAAATTATGGTCATAAATAAAGTTTGTTTTGGGCATTTGAAAAACGAATTTTGTAGTTCCTTGGTAAAGACCGTAGACTTCAGACAATTTACTACTTAAAAGTTTGGGTTTCAATACTGTCATGCTTTATGTTAGGCAAACAAATGTTGTGGCTAAGTCAAGGTCACGTTTTAATCATTACTACTAAAAGGGGCCAACCAAATTAAATCTGCATACTTGATAACCAACCATCTAATAATGCTATAGACAAAGCTTGCTGTTCATCTATCAATTACTTAGTAGAAGCTTATTATTTTTTTCTATTTTTAACAGGCCCCAAAAAGAGACCAATCACATTAATTTTTGTATAAACTGAGTAATCTTAAAAAAAATATAAGAAAGCTACAAACTTTAGCAATAATCCATTTATCAGTTCATTAGAAGAAGATGTGTACAGATCATTTCTAATTTTAGCTCTAGCGTCCCCTAACAGGGGGTTACAACGCTTTTAGTTTTTCGATTATTTTGCATTATAAAATGATTTTTCTTGGGGGGGGGAAGGATGAAAGAATGATCAGAAAATTTGCTCGAAAGTTATTGGTCCAGACCTTCATGAACTGGTATACAAATCTCGGGACATTTTTCTGTCCCGTCATGTCAAAAAACCTCACTGAAGTCCCTATAACAATCTTTTCACTAGGAAATATTTTTTTTACCTTCATTCGTGCTTAATCCCATCTTACGCTTAGACATGCTGTACAATTAATTCCCTATAACAATCTTTTCATAAGGAAATATTTTTTTTACCTTCATTCGTGCTTAATCCCATCTTACGCTTAGACATGCTGTACAATTAATTCCCTATAACAATCTTTTCACTAGGAAATTTTTTTTTACCTTCATTCGTGCTTAATCCCATCTTCCGCTTAGACATGCTGTACAATTAATTCCCTATAACAATCTTTTCACTAGGAAATTTTTTTTTACCTTCATTCGTGCTTAATCCCATCTTCCGCTTAGACATGCTGTACAAGAAATTTAATATTTTTGAAATACTAATAAATAATCAAGAAATTGAGTTATCTTACATTCTCTTCTTTAATCCACCAATTACAAAAATACAGTTCAGGTACTATTTCGATATTCCAGTTGTGAGAGCACTATGTCAACTAAACCCTATTCATATGAAAACACTAATTTAATACTAAACAATGGTTCTCGTGATGGAATGACATGTGGATGTGTTTATAGGATATTGAAAAA